AAAAACTACTTACTAACAATACTTCGTGGCAAACAAAGACAGAACTTAATATACAAGACATTCTTGATTTACTTGACCTATGCCTTTCAACTGAATTCTGCTTCCAGAACAATTACTACCGACAAATCTCCGGCACTCCTATGGGGTCGCCACTTTCCAGTTTCCTTGCTGAGGCAGTGATGCAAGATCTGGAAAGTAATACTGTTACAAACAATGACGACATTAAAACATGGGACAGGTATGTAGACGATGTACTTGCTACTGTCAAAAAGGACAAAACAGACGACATCCTACTAACAATTAACAACACCACTAAGAACATCAAATTTACCAAAGAGGAAGAACATGACAACAAACTCGCATTTCTGGACGTCCTAATAACAAAAACAGACAACGGCACTTTAACCACACAAGTTTATCGCAAGAAAACACACACTGATCAAATTTTAAATTACAATAGCAATCACCCAACACAACACAAAGTCAGTTGCATAAAGACTCTATTCAACAGAATTGACACACATTGTCACACTGATCAATCCAAACAAGACGAACAAGAAGTATTTATACTCTACTTTTTACAAAAATGACTACCCTTTAGACTTCATTAATAAGGTGCTACAACATAAACAACAAACTAACACGGACCGACTTAACCAAACAAAAACGAGGATTACACTTCCTTACATACACACTACATCAGAAATGGCAGCTAGACTCCTCCGATCTTTCAACATTGACGTTGCACACAAACCAACATGCAAACTTAGGTCCAATTTCACTAAACACAAAGACAAGACACATATAACGAATAAACATAACGCCATTTATATCTTCCTGTGCAAAAACTGTCCGGATAAGTACATTGAACAAACATCTAAAAAGATTCAGACAAGACTAACAGAACACCAGAACGCAATCAACAGACACGACCATAGCTCACTTCCAGCTACAGACAACAACGGACATAAATTCGACTGGTCTCAAACGAGATGCCTAGGACAAGCAACTACTAAACATGCCCGTGAGTTTAAAGAAGCGTGGCATAGTTAGACAAACATTTAACCGTCACATTGACATCCCTAAAATTTACTTACAACTGAAACGCTCTCACAAATCTCCTAATTCATCTTCATTAACCTTTAACCCACCCTCAACGTCCTTCCCTACACCGTCTCATGATAACAATAATCACCCGCATTCGATCGTAACCAATGGCAACCAACACACTGAAATCCATCAACCAATCAGACGATCCCACAGACTTCAACAACGTCAACAACAGCGCGAAAATTCAAATGATTAATCTTTCTGATGAAGGCTCGAAGTACCGAGTCGAAAGCTCAAAACAAATAATTACAATCCGGAGAACACTGTATAATATATATATATATATATATATATATATATATATATATATATATATATATATATATATATATATATATATATATATATATATATATATATATAATGCGTGTAGGCGAAACAATGCTTAGGCGAAACAATTGGTGCTTAGGCGAAACAGTGGTTAGTCGAAACAATGCTTGGGTCATAAAATTTTGTTAACGACCTTGTTTACTCGAAACCGGTTTTTGTGACGACACTTGCCGAAAATTTCGCTTCTTTTATTGAGTAAATTATCTTTGTTTATGTCTTTCAAAATGCAAAATTTTTCTTCCAAACATAAATTGCAGCGTTTTGATCCCCCTGTGTACGAAATAGCGTGTTTTAAAATTGACCATTTGATGGTATAATCCTGATTGTTTTCTTTTAATTTCCAAATATGTTCCGAAAGTTCCGTTTTGTTTGAGTCTTTTTTATGACGAAAAGATGAAGTGTGGTTAGCGTAACGTTCCTTAAATGTAGTCGCTGTCATACCAATGTAGTGTTTAGTGTCGTTCGTGTTGTTCGTTGTGACTGTTGCTTCGTAAATAATGTTGTTGGTCATGCATTGTTTCGGTAGTGGGCAAGTGTTTTTGTTGTCGCAGTTACAGTTGTCAGTTTCCGTATTCTGTGATTGACTGTTCCTAATTATATGTGCGTTGTGTTTGGTGATTATAGACTTAACGTTGTTCATGCAACTGTAGCTTACCTTTAAAGTGTTTCTGTTGAAAATCTTGTGTAGTTTGTGCTGTAGTGGGAAGTGTTTGTCAATTAAACTTAAGAATTCCCGTCCTATGTTCGTGTTAACACTCTTACTAAATGGTGGGTTGAACCAAATTATGTTGCGTTGCCTATTCCTACGTGTCCGTTGCGGTGCATCCTGAGTGTACGTAAATTCGTGATCAAAGTTAGTATGTCTAAGGGCGTTCTGGTAAATAGGTGTGGATTCCTTAAATGTTTGTTCGTCCGATGAGAGAAGTGCAATGCGTTTGTTGATAGCTGTAGGTAATTGTCTTGTAATGCTTGGTGGATGGTTTGAGTGTCTGTGGATGTACAATGGATCGTCATTGGGTTTCCTGTATGGTTTGTGTTTTGCGTTGATCAAGTCGAAAGTGACATCTAAAAAATTTACAACGTTCATATTTACTTCGGCGGTGATTTTAAGATCAAATTGCTCGAAAATTTTGTGTAGCTCTTTTCTAGTTTTGTCTAGTAAACGGGCGGATTTGCTTTTTATAATAGCCAAACCATCATCTCTATAAAGTCCGATGTTTTCCTTGCCAAACCTCTTACCTAAGTGATTTAAAATGAAAAGGCCTACCTGCTCACAAATTTCAGCGCCGTCGAAACTACCCATAGTGACGTCAAATAAACTGTTGCTTCCGTCTTTTTTTGTCCATAATTTGCCGTTGCCGAAAAGTAGAGATTTTCTTGCATGTTTTATTATTGAAATATCGTTTTCGGTAATAGTTGTCAAATCCGAAGCCCAGGACAATGCTTCATTTAAAAGTTTTTCGGAAATAGATGGGTAAAAATCCACAATATCAAATGAAATAAAACTGTGCCTGTCTTTATCGTTTATATTGCCAAACCATGAAATTACTTGTTGCGTATTTCTCCATTGATTTGAATTTAGGTTTTGTCTCAAATTGGAATTAATTTTATCTAAAATAACCTTACTTAGTTTTCCGGATTCGCTTTTTGCGGGATTAATTAGTCGGCATTTTGGATTGTTTTCGAAATTTTCTTTGTGATCTTTTAAAGATATAAATGCTTCGCGTTTTTTCATTCGTTCAATTCTGTCGCCAATTCTTAACCTACTCGAAATTTCTTTCAATTCGGAGTCAATTTCATGTATGAAGTCCTTCTGATCCATGTTTGTACGTTTTCGTGATGTTGTCATGTAAGAGTTCGTTGTATGTGTTCAGTGACGTTTCGTAAATGTTTCTAGTTTTGTCCGCGAAAATGAAAATGTTGGGGGATGAATTAATTTTCTTCAAATCGTTAGCCAAAGATGTCTGAAATTGGTCTTTAGGACGCCGAAATTTTACGTTTTCAATTAGTTTTATCAAGTCGTCTTCGAAAGGTTTCAAAAGTGGAATTGAAGGAGGCGATTTGTTAGACGAAAGGCCGAAAAGGTTGCTTTGGTTTTGAGTCGTTGATCCTTTTAGGAAGAAATTAGCTTTCCATCTCATACGTTTTGTTACGCTTTCCACTTTTTCAATCAAATTCTTTAGATAAGCATCCTGTGATGGTATAGGAATATATAGAGGTTAGTACTAGGATACAATCAAAAACTGATCAAATAGGATTACCTTCCACTCGTGAGCTCAGAACACAAGTTCAGTTACGCTGCAATTTATGTTTGGAAGAAAAATTTTGCATTTTGAAAGACATAAACAAAGACAATTTACTCAATAAAAGAAGCGAAATTTTCGGCAAATGTCGTCACAAAAACCGGTTTCGAGTAAACAAGGTCGTTAACAAAACCTACTGACCCAAGCATGCATTGTTTCACCTAAGCATTGTTTCGCCTACACGCATTCCGCACATTCTTTCGATAGCATAAAAGCAACCTACAATTTCGAAATTATTCACCACCTGATGATTCCTATACGGGTGAAACAGACTGTTGTGGTTTTTTGAGGTAAAACGAAAAACTATATTACGCTCTATCTATATGGTATTGAGCACTTTTTGTGTTTCGTAAACCAAAATCTTAAGCTATATATATATATATATATATATATATATATATATATATATATATATATATATATATATATATATATATAAAAATATATATATATATATATATATATATATATATATATATATATATATACGAGTAGGTTTGTGTATACGAAACGCAAAGAGTGCTCAATATCATAAAGATAGAGCAAATGTAGAATTTCGCTTACCTCAAAATTCCGCAACAGTCTGTTTCATCAGTAAAGAATCATCTGGCGGTACTGATGATTCTTTACTGATGAAACAGACTGTTGCGGAATTTTGAGGTAAGCGAAATTATATATATATATATATATATATATATATATATATATATATATATATATATATATATATATATATATATATATAAACAGTTTTGTTTTTCGTTATAGACAAAAGAGTGCTCAATACTACAAATTATTTAGCAGAGCGAATTAATTTGTTATCTTAAAATGTTTCAATTTCTCGCTACTTTAAGTTTCATGCCACTATTTGTGGCAATCTTCAGGCGATTAAATTCAGTTCGTTATAATGGCGTGATCTATAGTTTGCTGACGTGCATGCACCGTCATTATTCGCACGCGCGTTCAAAATTTCCCGCCCAAAATTTCTCGCGATGTCGGCATTTTGCGAATATCTCGGGTCGAGTGAATGCCCTATTAAGAAGAACTGTAAATCTAAAAACATTATCTACAAGGCCCAAGTTACATCACCCGACGACGGTGTCATGAAAGAGTATATAGGAATGACGGCGACTACTTTCAAAGAACGATATGGAAATCATAAGAAATCCTTCAAACTCCAAAGATATAAAAACGATACAGAGCTGTCAAAGTACATCTGGGGGCTAAAGAGTAATAATAAAAATTACACCCTAAAATGGTCAATTCTGAAGCAGGCAGGCGCATACTCATCTGCTTCAAAGCGTTGCAATCTCTGCATAGAAGAAAAACTCTGCATAATGGATGCAAACAAAGATATTCGCAAAATGCCGGCATCGCGAGAAATTTTGGGCGGGAAATTTTGAACGCGCGTGCGAATAATGACGGTGCATGCACGTCAGCAAACTATAGATCACGCCATTATAACGAACTGAATTTAATCGCCTGAAGATTGCCACAAATAGTGGCATGAAACTTAAAGTAGCGAGAAATTGAAACATTTTAAGATAACAAATTATATATATATATACATATATATATATATATATATATATATATATATATATATATATATATATATATATATATATATATATATATATATATATATATATATATATATATATATATATTTTTTCGACAATAAAGGAACACGCTGAATGCACTGGTCACAACGCTGCAAAATCAGACGCTGTAATATTAGAAAAGGGAGTTAAGAACTACGAACAAAGGATTTTCTTAGAGGCTTTATATTCCACTCTTAGTGAAAACACGGCTAATGAACATACTGAATTTCCGGCTTGTTACTCTATATTAGCAGATGAAATCAAGCGGAACGATAAACATTATAAATAGAGGTGTAATGACTCTTGCCATATACTCTGATGAAGGCTTGCAGCTCGCAGCCGAAAATTTAGTTTTTAATTTTACTAGTTTTTATTTTAAATAAAATGTTTTTAACCAGATCAGCTACAAACCTTAGAAAAGTTATCATGTATTCTACTGATCGCCTCAACAGCATATATATATATATATATATATATATATATATATATATATATATATATATATATATATATATATATATATATATA